AGCATAATGTCTTCAAGGTCTGTTGTGTTGTAATATGCATCTACATCTCTTTCCTTTCCACGGCTGAATATTTTCCACTGAATGCAGAGAGCACACGTGTTCATCCATCTGCCGGTTGCTGGGTGCTTGGCTGTTTTCACTGTTCAGCTTCTGTGAGTAACGCTGCTATGAACACAGCGTGCAAACACCTGCTGACTTTCTACCCTCATCTTCAACGTCATTCAACATCATCGTCTTCTCGTTTTTGTTTAGTGTTTTTTGATTTTTATTTTTATTACCACATATTTGCAGTATGTAATGATTGCACCCCTTGTGGGGAGTTGGTGCCTGAATACAGCACATCTTAGCTCTTTTCCCATCTCCTCCCCTTCCTGCCCCCATCTCTCAGTGCCCTTCCTTTTTGCAAAGATCTCTATCTCTGTTTCCTGTTATCTGTCATTTATTTTGAGCTTATTTTTATTTTGGGTTTCTCATAGAAGAGAAATCATGTGACACTTAAGCTTTGGGCTCTGATTTATTTTGCATAACATTATGGTCGTGAGGTGCACCCATTTTCCTACAAATGACTCAAGTTCATCCTTCTTTATGGCAGAGTAGTACTCCACTGTGTGCAAACGCCACGTTTTTTTTTTTTTTAATCTGTCATCCCCTGACAAACACAGAGGCTGCTCCCAAGATTTTCTGTTATGAGCTGTGCTGCTATAGACATGGATGTGTGCGGGTCACTCAACATCACTCTTGCCAGAGATTTAAAGGCACCCTGTGGAGCCCAACAAAACTCTCTCTGTGGGGAAACACACACACACACACACATACACACTTTTCCCTCCTAATTCTTTCACACTAGTTTCTTTCACACTAGTTTCTTTTCCACTGAACTCACTGACTACTGTCTCCACTGGGCTTGGGGGTCCTTCCTCACCATAGGTTGTTCACAGAGCACTTTCCTCCCGCCTGGCTCTGGTGCTCAGTACCGTCCAGTGCCTGCCTCTCTGAAGTTTTCTGGGTCATGGCTACTGATGTTGGCGGGCACTGTTGAAAGTCAGGTCTGAAGTCACACTTTCCTGGCCTGGGATCTGCAGCGGGGGCCCCCAGAGGATCCCCTGCTGGTTCCGACTCCTCTGCAGGGTGCGGGGCGGGCCATGCGTGTGTGACGGCTCTAGAGCAGGAGCCACCCGCCGATACTGCCCAGGAAAAGGCAGTGTGGGCAGCTGGACTCCACGCTGGCTGAGCCGAGGGAGCCCTCTCTCCATGCACAGCCAGGAGGTCGCCCGAAGGCTCTTCTGTTTGTGACAGATGTGACACTCCCTTGAGCCGTCGGTGAAATACACACGGGAACTGACACATGAGCACCGTGTCCCTGGTCCCAGGGGCAGAGCACAGCCGTGGTGTCGCTTCGTCCCTCTTGGAAGGCTTGGGGTGGGGGGAAGCTTTATCCCCTACCAGAGTGCTTTCTGGGACCCCCGTGCACCCCAGGCCCGGGTGCTCCACTCCCAGCTTGTCTCTCCTTGCTCCTTCGCCTCTGCCGTTTATGCTGCACACAGCACAGCGACCATCTGCGAGGCCCCCGAGGCTCTGGCCCAGCCAACTCTGTCTCACTTCGCTTAGCATAGAACAAGTCTGGTCCTGAGCAGGCCCGCAGAGGCGGTGCACACCTGCTGTCCAGCACCCTTGGAGGCTGAGGCAGGAAGATCGCAAGTGCTTCTCTCCCCTGGACAACTTAGCAACTTAGTGGGATCCTGTCTCAAAATAAAAAAATGAAAAAGGGCTGGGATGTCACTGAGTGTGCAGGCCCTTGGCACAATCCTCAGTGCAGCAGAAAGAAAACAAATAAAATGTGTGTGTACACATTTGCTCTTTGTCACGACTGCCAAGGCCCTGCCTGGCCCTGCCCAGGTTCCTGTCTTCTCTCAGCGCTGCCCTCCGTGCCCTCCCCGTCCCTGTCACCTGCTCAGCCCTCGTCTCCTGGGCACTGGACACTGGGCCCTGGCTGCTGCCCATGCTGGCTCCCACGTCCCCAGCTCCCCACAGACCTGAGCGGCTGAGCCACTGCACCCCTGCCGCCCCACTGTGTCCCCAGGCGCCTGCTCCGAGACACTTGTCACTGTCCAGAGGCCCCCCCTGGTTTACACCTCTCCTGCACTCCCCCCTCGACTGTCCACAGTGGGCGCCCAGGGCGAGAGGGCTCTGCGGCTCGCAGCTGGCTCCCCAAGGGCTGCCCGGCCCTCGGCAGAGACTGCAGGAGGGAGGCCGGAGAAGCTGGCCAGGGAGGGAAGAGTCGGGGCAGGGGTGCCCCTGGTTCCACCCCGGTGCTGAAGAGAGAGAGGGGAAGTAGAGGAGGACGGAAGAGGACGGGGCGGGGAATGGGGGTCAGGGGGAGGGAGGGCAGAGGAAGGGGAGAAGAGGAGAAGGAGGATGAAGGGGAGGGAAGGGGGAGTGTGGAGGAGGGAGAAAGGGAGGGAGGGAGGGAGAGTCACGAACGAATAAGCGCCCGAAGGGGGGCTGCAGATCAAGCGGAGAGAGGCTGCCGAGGCTGAGGCCCGCCTGGCCCGAGCTGGGCTGGGCTGTTCCGTCCGCGTCTCATGTCTCGGAATGCAGAACTCTCGGGCTGACGGCCCCCAGGTCCACTCCGAACCAAGACCAACCTGGCTTGGATTTCAGAGCGCTTGAAAACATAAACCAGCAGGGGCGGGGAGGGGGCGACGCCTATGACCTCTGGTTTCTAGGATGAATTCAAGGATCTGTGGTCTTTTCTAGGACCAACGCTGCCACCAACGTCCCACGTAAGAACATCGGTCACCCCCGGACCCGTGGGCCACCTGGTAGCCGCCCGCAGCAGGGCCACGCCTGGCCCCCCGGCGGGGAGGGCTTCCCAGCTCCTGCACCCGCCAGGACTCTTGATGCATTTCACCCGGCCTGGGCGGCCTGGCGCTCTTATTCTCCCAGTGCATCAGCAGCGATGATTTCTAGGTGGGGAACACTGTGCCGTTGGGGTTATTTCCTCTCCATGTTTATGAAATTCTACAAATTTCTACTGTTATTTTTTCAAGAAGTGATCTCATTCACGCCGACACACACAGCCAGCCGCAGTTGCACGGGTTGCTCAGGGGCTTTTTCATTTTTCGCAGTGCTGAGGGTGAGACCCGGGGCCTCACACGTGCCAGGCAAGGGCTCACCGCTGAGCGCCAGAGTGGACAAGAGGGAGGGACACGGTGACCTGGGGGACCGAGACGTTCTGCCGACCTGGGGAGGGGCACAGTGGCCCCAGCCCCCCTGCTCACCCCGGCACTCAGACAGCCTCTGGGTGCGCCCAGCTCTGGGCTGGGGGGCTGCAGGCCCAGCCTCTCCGGGTCTTCCTCTCCCCTGCTGGGCGTGTGCCGGACCGAGGGCGTGGGGCTGGCCGCTGGGAGGCGGTTTCCCTGTGAGTCTGGCCTGCTTGCAGCGCAGGATGCCTGGGGTCTCTGCTGCGACAGCACAGCGTTTGCAGAGACACCCTGCTCCCCACAGTTGGCCTGGAGGCGGGGCAGGAAGCAGGGTTATCAGACAGCTCTCAGACAGCAGCCTTTCCTTTGCGTTGGGACCCAGAACCTATCACCCCTCAAAGCAACCAACAGCTAAGACCTGACTCACAGCTGACTCCCGGCCCCCTCAGCACCCTCACTTCTGGTGCCCACACCCTCGGGTCCCGGCCTCGCCTGGCCTAGGACCGCAGCAGCCTCCGCAGTCCCCTCCACGGCTCATGAGGCCCCTCAGAGCCGTGTACTCTGCAGAGTGGTTAGGATGACAAGCAGCTGCGCCGCCGTGGCCATGACACCATCTCCGCAGTCGCTCGGGGAAATTTGTGTGGCTGCAGGGCGCAGCGTCCCGCGGAGCTCAGCCGGGACGGGGCCTTCCTGGATGTGGTGCAGGGTGTGGCTGTGGCCGTGGACGCTTCTCCCTGTCTGTGGGGCCACAGGAAGCGTGCCCACCTCCTGGCCATCCCTGTGTCCAGGGCCCCTGGTTATAATCACTGTTAAGCCACACGTCTGACAGTCGTGGGTAAGGAGATTCGGTAGGCGTGGCCGGGATGGGCCTCCTTGGGTGTCCAGCTCTGAGAGTGACCGAGAGCACAAGGCACTGTCCGAAATTCCCAGGAGCCCAAATTCTCTGTGTGTTGCCCCTCTGTGTTTCTGGGTGCTCTCCCTGCACACGCGGTTGTAACAATACACACTGCACACATACACACACACACCCGTGCACACACACACACCCTCAAGTTGCCATGAAAACAACTGTCATGAAATGCCTTGTGGTTGTAAAGATTCAGGTGCTAGCTAGATTTCTGATTTAGAAGAAAAAATTACTTTGCAGTACTGGGGATTAAGCCTGAGGCCTTCAAATACCCTCACCCTTTATTTTTTATTTTGAGATAAAGTCTCAGCAAATTGTTCTATCGTCCAGGCTCTGCTCAAGTGTAAGATCCTCCTGTCTCAGCCTCATAGAGAACTATTTTTCTCCCACTTCTCTTTTGTGTTTCCCCTCAATGTAGTCCCTGTCTGAGGTCCCCCCAGAACCTCAGAATGTGTTCTTCTTTGGAAACAGCGTCTTGGCAGATAGTCAAGGATTGATCTAGAAATAAATCATCGTGGTCTGAAAGCAGGCTCTGAGCCCAGGGCCTCCGTCCCCTCATGAGAAGAGGAAGACGGAGTTACGCAGGGAGGAGGCCGGGGACAGCACGGCACAGGTTGTGTCCCAAGGTGCGAGGCCCAGGTGGGGGGCAGAGGCCAAGGATTCCCCCAGATCTTCAGGAAATTACAGCTCCCCCAACGCACTCATCTGTGTTAGCGCGTATGCATTCGCTGGAGTACTGGGTTCCGGGGCAGCACTTCCGCGCGTGCTTACAACCTGCTTCACAGCCACCTCCGGGTGCTCTCCCGCACAGCGTCCCCTCTGTCCCTTCCACCTTCCTGTCACCGTTTTCTTTTTTGATCCCACACATCAGGGAAACCACACAGCGCTCATCTTCCTGAGTCTGGTTTATTTCACCGCATCAGGATCTCAAGGGTCCGCCCTTTCCCGGCAAGCGACCCAGTTTCGTTCCTTTTCATGGCTGGGCGGGGCCCCACGCAGTGGGCAGCTGTAGCACATTTCCTTTGCCCGCTCACCCTCTCACTGTGAGTTTTGCCCCAGCAAACATGGGTACATGGGGGAAATAATGTTTAACAGAGGAAGCAACCATTTTCCTGCTCAGTTCCGGGTTTATAGTAAAGTCTTCCCAAATCCTATTTAGTCTAAGCCCGCCCTTCTGTGAGCCCGAGCTTGCTGTGTGCATATTTATTTTCAGCGGCCTTCCTCGGCCACGGTGGGTCTCCGGCCTGTGGAGTCCTCTCCGGCTGGTGCCTGGTGGTCACCCGGAAAGGCGCTTTGATCCGGCTGGTGACAGTCTCCCAGCTGAGTGCCTGACACAGCCACCCTCGGGAAGCCCTGCAAGGACAGGCTGTGGTTGTCACTCACGGGCTGCCTATGCTGCTTGTAGAAGACTAGAGTGGCTCATATTTTGGGGTTCATCCAATTCTTTTCAGTTGCCGGTGTCAGAAATTGATTCCAGCCTACCAACAGAGAGACGTGTTTCATTAGAGGGTGATTGTGCATCCTACAGAATAGGAAAGCAGGCTGAAGCACGAGGCTAAAATGGACAAGACAGCCCACAGAAGGGGGGCAGAGGTAGGGAAACCAGTGGCTGGGTCCCCAGGGAACCACGGGGGGGGGCACCCCTCAAGGGGAACAGATTCAGCATTCTGCTTGGAGCCCCACCAGGCCACACCCAGGGAAATGTAGCTCCCCAGGGCAGACTTGGGGGTGTTAGAGCCAGAAAAAGGCGGGGTGGCTGCCAGCAGCAAAACAGCAGGTGATCACCATGCCTCCGTCTGACCCTCTCACGGGCATAGACTGGAGCCAAAATATTTCATCACTGGTGCAACCACGGAGCAATCAGAACCGACCGAGAGGAACCGCCGCGCTACCCGCAGAGCGTGAACACAGAATTTTACTCACATTTATGTATTTTTTCTTTTCTGAAAGCTGGAGAACGAAAAACAAAAGCACACAGGTTTCTCACTTATGTGTCTTCCCCGCCTACAGGTTCACCTGTGTGTGACTTTGGAAGCAGTGACCGGCACGCCGCTGCATTCTGTCATTTCAGTGTGTCTTAGAGTGAGTCCCCTGGTTTGATCTGGGTCTGATTCCCACTGTCAGCTTGGGGCTTTGGATATCTGAATTCAACGGACTTCAACAATGGCTGCCTTCTTAAGATCCTCCCTGCCTCGCATCTCTCAGCCACACGGTGGGCGATACAGTTGTGAACTCCAAAAGCAGACGTCCCTGAAGACAATGGCTCCCCGCTTCTGGCTGTTTCCTCAGACCGAGAAGCAACTTTCCCAGAATGTATAGATTTCGTCTCTCACGTTGATGAAAGTTAAAGCACGTACACTGGTGCTTCCTGCTCAGCATTCCTGCGCCAGAGCTGGCTGCGGTTGGACTCCGGCCCTCCCGACACAGCCAGACAGTGTCTCTTTTCATCTCGGAGAACAATAGCTTAATTGCCTCGGCCACTTAGTAACCAAATGCCTTGATATGTTCACTGTGAAATGCTGCGTGCTATTGGCTCCTTCCAGGGAAGAAGGGAGGGAGAAAAATTAAAAGCTAACCTCAAGCTATGAATCAGTGAAATACTTTCTAGTCCCTCCAACAGGAAACTTTTTACCCTCCGTGCTTCTCATTATCTGCGTGAAACAGACACTTGCGGTGGGGGGGAAGCCACGGGACAGTCTAAGCAAATTTAATGAAGTAGCTCTAAATATTGTAACGAAGTAAATGAAGTGAGTAACACAATTGCCCATTGCCGGGTCTCTTCTTACAATAAGCACTGTGAGGGAGTGCGTGCCAGAGGCCGTCTGGATGGCTGGCTGGGTTGGGAAATGCCACTGCAAATCATCACATCCCAAGAAACAATCAGCGGTCTTCCAGGCTGTGTTTAATTTCCGTCATTCTTCGCGTCCAGGAACGAGGAAGGGATGGGAGGGGAGGGGAGAACAGAAATCACCACCTCCCCAGGTCTGAGTTCTTCAGCTTTATCAGACAGCAGCGGGCAGGTTTGATACACTGGGGCCTGCTCGTGGGAGGTGGTGGCCACGGGAAGACCCTTGTGTGGAAGCTGACAATGCTCATTGAGGGGGAAGGTGGTCATTTTTGATGTCCCCACCCCAGCCATCATTTCAGGGTGGCTCTTGCGGTGTGTGGATCTCTGGTGTGGAGCCAAAGGTGTGAGATTCTCTTGTGCGGCTTGGTGAGGACACACAGCTTGGGGCTGGGAGACCTGCTTCCACCGCCTGGAATTCTGAGCCTTGGGCAAGGTGTACAGAAAGCCAGAGTGTGCAGGAGGTCAGACCTGCGGTGGGAACAAGAGTGGTCTTTTCCTCCTTTCCTGCGGCAGCGCTGTCTCAGTCCCTGCAGTCCTCTAGGGTCCTGTTTATCTCCCATGCATTTATTCCGAATCCTTGGTTCTCTGAGCTCCTGATTGCGTTCCAGTAATGGTCAGTTTCTGTTGCTGGCAACCAAGAAAATTGACTTCCCCCACCAGCTCCTCCACGGCAAGTGCCGTTTATAAAGAGGCAAACTGTCTCACACATATCCGGGGGCGGAAGACAGAAAGGCAGTCTCGGCCACTTCCTCCAGGCTTCCGGTGTGCCAGACGCTGCTGTAAAGTGTTTGTGTCTAGTAACTCAGGCCTCACAATTGTACACCAGTCTGCAGATTAGAAAGCCAAAGCAGAGAGACGCTCAACTACTTAGGTTCACAGAACTAGAAGGCAGAAGGGCCAGGAACTGAGCTCAGGACATCTGGTTCTGGATCTTAACCAATTCTATGGCTTTTCGTTGTGACTTAGGAGCTACTGCTCAAGAGAAGTCTCTTTTGAAACCAGGAAAGGTGTTGGCGGTTAGTAACTCAGCCACTTCATGGCTATGGCAGAATCGCACAGCCTGGGGTGCAGTAGGTGTGGGGAGTCCCCCTTGGGGTTCCCTGTAAACTTGATGGGGGGAACGGCATTGTCAGCACTTCCCATGGGGAATTAGAGCCTGTAATGCGTGGCCTGCTGGCCAAACCTTTGTAGCTTTTCCCTGAAACTATGCCCTCTGTGTTTATGGAACAATCAGCAATCTGTATTAGATTTATGCACCAGCATGCGTCTTAAAAGTTTTAATTTGTTATTAAAATATATTATTTAAAACTTAGTTTTTAAGCCATGCCTCAGCCTCTGGTCTTCATGGTCAGTTTATCTTTTCCTTGCTGGTTTTCCCCAGGTTTAGTTTCCCAGTCCTGGCTGGGTTCACCCAGAGATGTGAAATACTGAAGACGGTGTTTCTCATCTTTTCCCCAAATATCTCCTCCTCAGGAGAACGATCCGGTCTGCATCAGACAGCACTGTGTGTTCTCCGAGCAGCACCACGGGCAAAGCCCCCGGACCGCAGTAATGACCAGGTCCGGCGAGTCCCGGGCTGAGCCTTGTGTCGTAAATGAAGGTCACCAGACAGCCGCCCAGCAGACTGAAGCAGCGGGGCTGCTGGTAACTTCTCACAGAGGACTTAACGTGCAGATATGAATATCAGAAAACGTGCACTCGTTACTGCTGCAGAAAGCTCAACCCAGTTCTGAGATGTTGTAGCCTCACTAGAACAGCTGAATCATCGGCGGCAAAGACAGAAAATGAAGCGTTCAGCTGTGTCCTACTTGCAGTAGACAGTGCAGGTGCAAGCTGGGTGTGTGCCCTTGAGTGTGTGTGGGTGTGCTTGTCTAGCACGTGTATCTGCAGCACAGCAGTCGGGCTCCAGAGGCCACCTCTCTATATAGCTTTGTGTCGGGGGTCTGTTACTGTCTTAGTTACTTTCTTGTTACTGGAGGAAAATACCCAAATTCACAGCTTTAAAGAGGAGATACTTACTTGTGTATTGTAGAGGTTGCAGCCCATACTCAGCCGACTCCAAGGCAGAAACAGGTTGGAGAATGGTCCTGGGCCAGGGACAGCTGCTCATCCCATGGCAGCCCGGAAGCAGAGAGCAAGGGCAGGGGCTGGAGGGAGAGGTACACCCTTCCAGGCCACGCCCCCACGGCCACCTCTTCCAATCAGGCCCTGAGTCCTAACAGCACATTCAGCTATGATGAATCCACCAGTGGGTATGGTGGCCTCATGGTCCAATCACCTTCCAAAAGCCTTGGCTCTGCTGATGGGGACCCTCTAGATCTAAACCACCACAGCTGCTTATGAGCTATATGACAGTGTAAGTTCCACAGTCCACCTGATGTTCGGTTTTCTTACGTGCAGAAAAGGACCACGGTGTGTGTGCATGAGAAGAAGCATGTGAGCTACCCTTGGCCCATGCTTACTGTACCCTGTGTGCTTAGTAAATTCTTTTCTATGCACTGCATAGAGTGGTTTAGGGTCTCTATTATTATCATTGCTTTCTTATCGATGGGGGTGTAATTTGAGGGTAGGAAGATGCATAAACCTGCAGGCTTTTATACCTGCCACTATCCATCAAATCAGCACCTGGATCGGGATGTGTGACCCCCAGGTGCCTGAAGGCTGCTCTGCGCCCGACCCTGTGTCACTCAACTTCCACCCTGCTGGCCACGTCCCTCTGCATTTCTGCCTGTCATCAGCCTCCTCGCAGATGTACTCCTCCACACAAACGCACTTGATTTCTTTTTGCTGCACGTTGGGTCTGTAAATGCTCGGTTCGTTCTACCTGGTGTTGTTTTCATCTGCCGTTGTCAAGGAGTACGGCTGCCTTTGCTCACTATTTCCCAGGATCTCACCATGTTCTGTTTGGTAATAGCTATCAAGAATTTTGCATATCTGGAGGTTTTGCACAAATGTTGAAATTTTCTGATTCTTCAGAAAAGTAAAACAAAAAACATAAACCTGAAGACCGTGGGCCTTGTGTGAAAGAGTGGTTGCCTCCTTTAAGAGTGGTGTCCCAGCCCCTTTCCGCATGTCCTGGAGGAGCTCTGCGGTCTGTTGCTGTCCCCACAAAGCAGGTGCTCACTCTCTCGGTGGGAGAGGCAGGAGGCGGAAGGCCACCACTCCTGTGTCAGGAACAGCAGCAGAGAGGGCAGCTCTCCTGTGAGCGCAGATTCTGTACGTCTGGTTAACACGCAGCCCGAGAGCTTCTGTGCTGAGGAGCGCAGCAGGGCGGTGGCTCACACACCTCATCCCCTGCCTGGCCGGGAGGGACGTGCGTCTTCCGTGCGGGAGACAGTGTGGGGCAGCCCCGTCCGTCACCACCCAGCCTCGCCTTGGCCACCTGTCGGTGCCAGGGTAACCTGAGTGTCGTGACTTCCCTAGCGAACTGGCATCTGCTCTGAGAAACTGGGGGTCCAGCCACCTTTCTTCTGTTTTGAGGGTGGAATTGTTTATCTCGTTCACACTGTACTCTGTAACCAGGAAACTATGAGGTGATAGCAAGTACCAGGTGTCTCGTCTTGAGGCTGAGGTCTGAGGCCCCTGCAGGTTGCTTCCCCAGCCCCCCAGGTCCTCATGAGGTGCTGGCCGTTCAGAGGCAAAGTGAGTACACCAACACGCACAACTGCACATCTGCCCGGCCCCTCCCACTCTCAGACACACGAGACTGTGCATTTCCCCAGTGACCCCACTGGTAATTCCATTCCTCTTCTGTTTTGGCAGCGTGTTTAAGAGCTCAGAAGCAACAGAATCAGCATCTGAGCTCTGCTCGTCTAACTCCACCTCCACATCTTTTTTTTTGTGTACCAGGAATTGAACTCACGACCTTGCACTTCCCAGGCAGGTGCTGTGCCACTGAGCTATGTCCCCGGCCCCTACCTGCACTTCTTAAACCACAGGGACGGCTTTCCAGCCCACTCATGGGTGTAAAACAAGCACACACACACACACACACACACACACACACACACACACACACACGTCATTTATACCACGTCCTACGTCCTCTGTTTCTTTCCAGAGCCCAACATGGTCATTCATTTCCCATGCGTCATTCTAGTAGATAGATTTCCATGGAGGATTTGACTTAGTCTTTCCATCAGCACAGGTTTGATCTGAGAGTTCCGCATCGTGTGAAGCCTTGCTTCATCCCTTTCAACGTGGTCTCCACACGGCCTCTGGCACTGAACCTGGGTGAGATCGGTGTGGACCCTCCTGCTGGAGCAACATGGGGCCATGAACGTCCACAAGGGGACACCCACTCAGCCACAGCCAGCTTGTGAGACAACGACCACTTTGGTGTCTCTGGTAGCTCAGCCTCCAGGCCCTCCTGCCGTAGAGACCGAAACCCTGCCAGAGACAGCTGTTTTGATGATGATGCTGATGAAGTCTCAACCTTCTGCTGCTTGGGTGTTTCCAGGGTTCTGGGAGACTGTAGTGGCTCAGAGGAGACTTCATGGACTCTACAACGTGGACTCTACAGGACTAGACACATTAAGGTAACTTCATTGATTCTGTAGAGATAATAGAACCACAAGGGTCTCATTTGAATGTATTAGCTAGCTATTGCTGCATAACAAGCAAAATCAAAATCCAATGGTTTCAACTGACAAGTACCTACTTCACTCATGAATCTGTGCGTTGGCCAGCAGTTCCAGCCTTGTCTGGGCTTACCGATGTTCCTGCTGTCACTTAGTGGGTTACTGTCAGGCTGACTTGGTGGATTCGGGCTGTGGTGCTCAGCACCTGGTCCACATGACTCATCTTTCAGCACGCCAGCCTGGACTTGGTGACAGGAGAGCAGAGCGCTACAGATGAGCAGGACAGGCAAGGTTCTGACACTTTGGTGTGGAGCCAGCTTGATGCCACTTCCCCTGCTTTCTGCTGACCAAAGCAGGTGACTTTCGAGGCCAGCCCAGACCCAGGGACAGGGATTGCAC